AAAGACATGTTACGTGTTGCATTGGGAAAATCTTCTGTCAAAGATTTCTCCAAGGTGCTAAAGAGCATGAAATCAGTATAAAGAGTAAGCTGTGATCAAGTCAAGACCTGATCCAAGCCATGGTCTTTTCAGTTCCTTGCTATGCATCTGAAAATTTGGGCAATGAGTAAGGATGACAGAGGAAGAATCAGTGCCTTTGAGTTGTGGTATTGGAGAAGAGTACTGAGTAGTCCACAGACTGCCAAAAAAACAAACATGTCTCAGAGAAAGTGCAACCAGAGTGTTCCTTGGAGACAAGGATGGTGGAAATTTGTCTCACGTAAATTGGTGTGTTGTTAGGAGGGGCAAGTTCTTGGAAAAAGACATCATGGAGAGATGGAGGTCAGGGAAAGAGAGTAAAATCCTCAATAGGAAGGATCAATACTGTGACTGTAGTGATGGGCTTGAGAATATTGGTATTGAGGAGGCTGGCAAGCTTCAGATCCGTTGTTTAGAGGGTTGCTGTGAGTCGCAGTCAACTGGCCAGCACCTAACACCAACTTTGAAATTCTGATTTCCACTAATCTTCTGTATTTCTCTATTTCTTACTTTTATTAAGTAACATTGTACTGATCTGCTCTCTCTCTGATATTCCTTTCCCCTTCACCCATCTTAATATGTATCTATTATCTATTTACTAATTTTTATTCCCCTCTCTCTTCTTTTCTATTGGGAACCACCCAAGAATAATTCTGTATATAAACCTTTTTGTTAGATTTTTATAATAGTAGTTTGTTGGGGTTTTTTTACTCATGATTTTGAGGTTTATTAGGGAAGTTTAGATGCTATAATTCAGGTTAACAGCAGGATACAATCCCTCAGTCCAGAGAGCTCCTCAGTCGACAGTAAGATACAATCCCTGGCACACGAATCTCTTACACATGTTGCTTTATCCACTTTTTTCCTGGTGGTGAGAGTCCCACTTTATACTGCTGAATCTACTCAGCTTAATGATAAGACTAGCCAGTTGTTGTTTGCTGCTCTGTTGAATTTTGCTATTTTTACTGGGGTGAGATGATATCTCATAGTGGTTTTGTTATATTCAGTATTCTATTCTCTAGGTCCCCCCAGGTTACACAATTTTTCTTTAATTGTTTAAAGTGTTGAATAGTATTCCATTGTGTGAATGTATGGATTTCTTGTTTTTTTATGTAATCACAGCTTCATTAGAAACAGTTGGGTTGTTTCCATCTCCTTGGCTTGTAAATTATTCTGCAGTGTCATGATTGTGCATATATCTATTTGTGTCACAGCTCTTTTTTATTTAAAATAAAGAAATCTCACTTTTAGTGGTAGGTTGGCGCAAATAGTATTTTTATTTTCAACTTTCTAAGGAAGTATTAAATTGCTTTCCATCCTGTTTGTGCCATTTTACATTCTCACCAGCAGTGAATGAGAGTTTCAATATCTCCTTTCCCTCACCAGCTTTACTGCACTCTGTTGCTATTACTTTTCATTTTTCTTGAGCTACACTTAGTATTCTTTCTTTGTCTTTGATTTTGGGGAATTTAATTATGATAGCTTCTGCTGTTTTTCTGTTGCTATCTATCCTACTTGGGGTTTGCTCTGTTTCCTGAATACATAGTTCGCTTATTTTATCGTTTTTCATAGTATACAAGGTGTTTTCTTCAGGTAGTTCTTCAATGATTTCCTTTGGGGGTAGGACGGGGGGGGGGCGGTGCGCGAGGGCCGGAGGCATGCGTGCGCGTGTGGCATGAAGTTATCTGACATCTTAGAAACCTTGAGGTTTTGTCGGACTATACCATCAGAGCTACCTAAAGCACACTGAATAGAAAAAAATTAAAATCCTAAGTCCTTTGACTCATCAATCCTTTGATGAGTTTTTCATGTGAAAACTTTTACCTATGTCAAAACACCACCTAAATCAAGATATATTTCCATAATTGTTGTTGTTGTTGTTGTTGTTATGTGCTGTTGAGTCGCCTACGACTCATAGCGACCCTATGTACAACAGCCCTAAACTCCGCTCTGTCCTGTGCCAATCGCACCGTCTCTGACACTCCC